GTATTAGCAGTAGCAGCAGCAGTCGAAGTCGTAGTCGTTGCAGTAGCAGCAATGGCTGTGACAGTGGCAGTAGTCGTAGTAGTCGTAGCAGTAGCAGTAGTAGTAGTAGTAGTAGTAGTAATAATAATAATAGTAGTCGCCGTAGTAGTAATAGTAATAGTAGTAGTAAGTACTTAGTAAGAAGAAGAAAAAGAATGGCAATATTCATAAATATTAATTGTGCGCACTTGTTACCCCGCAGGATCCAGATGTCGGGCTCGGAAATCTGTTGCGCGATCCCCATGACTTGTGCATCAGCACCTTGGTGGAGCAATGATCGTAGAAAGCTCCGTGGTACATGAATTTGCAAACCATAAACTTTTCTAAACCCTAAAGACACAACAACCTGCATCAAGGCTTAACGTCTAAAGGAGTCGGCCAGGTATCTTGATGGCTACGACTACGAGCCTCTACCGGCAAACTTCTTTTCTCGCATCCCCTAGTGTCACGGCTTTTGCCGCTTTTGCTAACGTGATCATTGTTCTCGGTGGAATTGCGGTTGTTCTGATTCTAGTTGTTCTTACGATGAGTCGTCGTCAGGATTCGGATATCCAGTTCTTAGGTCTTAGGGCTGCAGGTCGGTAACTTTTGTCCTGGTCGACACCTAGGTGTATTTCCTGCGGGCAGGCTGCATAGATGAACTGGCAGGCTCAAACTTTGAAACTTGTTGCTCCGATTCTTAATTCGATGCTTAATTCTGATAGAAGCCTTCCTGCATCAAATAATTACTCGGGGGTATTTCTGGATGAGCTTGGAGCGTCCGAAGACTACAGCCAGAGTTTTTCGATAACAACATGCATCGGAAAACTGTTCTTTTAGACCAGATTTCTGGTGAGGTAGGGAAGGTTGACTTGGCCTACATAGACAAATCATGTTTCATATACCGTAAACTGAAGACAGTTGGAACATGATGATACTTAGTGTTGAGGTTCCCCGCATTTCGCTCACATGAGGGTACTGATGTTCAGCCCTGAGGCGGGGGTCATTGTTCCGAACTGCTCCGGCTCCATCTCAAGCCGAGGTATCGATGGTGTGGACTACCCACTGGAACATGACAAAGCCGCGAGCAATGCTGGCAGTCGAGCCGCCAAAGAGCTTTGTCTCCGAAGCAAGCGTTCTTCTGTCTTTGCGGTTGCTTGGCCTCCTTAATATAGGGGCCTTAATAATTAGAATAGGGTTTTGGGGCCCATGGCTATAACTATAACAAGGAACCCCCAAAATAGTATAGGTAATTATCAAGGCCCCTACATTAACTATAGGCATAGTTGCGAGAATGCTACCCACCGAATCCTCGGGTCTCTGAATGTGGACTATTGGCGAAATCTATGGCTTCGCAATCACTGTGCAAGAACTTGTTGGCATTGTTCTAAACCCTAAACCCTAAACCCTAAACCCTAAACCCTAAACCGGTCGTGTTCAAAACTCGTGGGCTTCAGGTTTAGGGCTTGGTGACTGGGTTGTAGGGTTTAAGGCCTACAGGTGTCTGGGCATGCGATGCTCATAGCTCGTCGTGGATTTACGGTTTAGGGATGTTTAGGGTTTGTGGCTTTGCGGGGCTATAGGCTAGCTACATGTTTTTAAGGCATTGCACGTATGTGACCGTAAGGGTCCTCACCTCGACATCAACCATGTTTTCGAAGTAGGCCATACACCCTAAACCCTTGAACATGTAGCGTTTAGAAAGCTTATGCTCAGTAGACCGTAACAGAAACTAACAAAAGTATACTACTGTATAAGGACAACTATGAAGGACCATTATAGAAACGATTGTCAGGATTGCGATAAAGGACTACTGTTTAAACAATGTTGTGGGACCCACTGGGCGAGTGGGCATTTTGCGGTGATGAAAACCTGCTGCTCGACTGGTGAGTGATTTCGTGGCCCAGCTAATACCCTAAACCCTAAACCCCTAAACCCGAAACCCTAAACCCCTAAACCCTAAACCCCCCCAAACCTAAACCCTAAACCCCTAAACCCCTAAACCCCCCCAACCTAGACCCTCACCCCTAAATATTAAGCCTTACCTTAAGAGCCCGAAACCTACTTTTTTGTAGGGTCCCTATAAATCCAATATTAGGGTTTATAATAAGAATCTACAGAAATGTGGGTTTTGGGCTCTTAAGGTAATCGTGAAACCGAACCCCAACACCTCATCCCCAATAACCCCAAAGCTCCCGATACCTCCAACCAGGGGTTTAGGGTTTTAGGGCCCCGAAGCGCTGAAACGCAAACTTTTATGGATCCCTTGCCGATCGATCCCCCATAGAACCCTAGAGTGGAAATAAACCCTTATATGGATTCGTTATAGTCATAGATCCCCCATCGAACCCTTTGAGTGGACACTTTCAAAGCCCAGAGAGCCCCACACCCCGTAATTAAGGAGTATACCTTAAATTATGAGGGCCCTTAATCTTATGATAAACCCTAAGGCTCCATGTACCCATATAGTAGAGACTTAGGCCTTAAAGGAGTCCCTATGTAGGTACTTTAAGGGCTAAGTATCTACTATATGGGCACATGGAGCCTTAGGGAAAGCATAGTCCTTAGTTAAGGGGTATTGGGCTCTCTGGGAGGTGCCTGTAGATTCGAAGAACCTCAAACTGGCTGCGCAGGAGCGGCAGCGCCGGGTGCTGATCAAGGTCCTATGGAGCCAAGCTGGAGGCCCTGAGGGATTTTTTAGGGCCTTTGAGTTTAGGATTCAGGGGTTTAGGGTTTAGCGTTTAGGGCCTTTGAGTTTAGTGTTCAGGGGTTTAGGGTTTAGGGTTTAGGGCCTTGAGTTTAGGGTTCGGGGGTTTAGGGTTTAGGGCCTTTGAGTTTAGTGTTCAGGGGTTTAGGGTTTAGGGCCTTTGAGTTTAGGGTGCAGGGGTTTAGGGTTTAGTGTTTAGGGCCTTTGAGTTTAGTGTTCAGGGGTTTAGGGTTTAGGGTTTAGGGCCTTTGAGTTTAGGGTTCAGGGGTTTAGGGTTTAGCGTTTAGGGCCTTTGAGTTTAGTGTTCAGGGGTTTAGGGTTTAGGGCCTTTGGGTTTAGGGTTCAGCGTTTAGCGCCTTTGAGTTTAGTGTTCAGGGATTTAGGGTTTAGGGCCTTTGAGTTTAGGGTGCAGGGGTTTAGGGTTCAGTGTTTATAAAGGGCCTTTGAGTTTAGTGTTCAGGGGTTTAGGGTTTAGCGTTTAGGACCTTTGAGTTTAGTGTTCAGGGGTTTAGGGTCCAGCGTTTAGGGTGCAGGTGTGTGCTTGCGGAAGTGGGCTGCTGGGGTTGATGGTTCATGGTCTTGAGTTTATAGGGTTTAGGGTTTTTGTTTTGGGGTTGGTTCAGCTTTTAATGCTTTGGATTGTAGAGTGTAGTTGTCAGGGTCTAGGGTGTAGTGTAGGGTGCAGCTTGGTTTCTTGCTGTCAAACTTCGCTTTTAAAGTGCAGGATCGGTTTTGCAAGAGGTTTGAAATGGAGGGTGTTGGTATTGCTTCTTAGAGAGCCTACCTCGATATGCTCTAACAAGGAGAGCCTGGTATTTGCAGTATATCTCCAGTAAAATGGCATCTGCAGTTGAGTTCCTGAACACTGCTACACCACACTTCCTGTTCGAGCTTGGGCATGAAACGGTCAGTGCGGATCTAGCTTAAAGCATCCGCACTTGAAGAGTAGAAGCCTCAATGCTAACCCCGCATCCGGCAACCCTAAACCCTAAACCCTAAACCTGCGAAGTTCGCCGTGAAGCAGGTTGCCTCCTGCTCTTTGCCATCTGGATGCTTCTGGAGTGGCGCATCTCGCAGCTGAGGGGTGCCGAAGCTTTGGATGTGGATGAGGCGCAGAGCCCCAAGAATCTTAGTTACATACATGTGTGTATATATATATATATATGTATATGTATGTATGTATGTATATACATACATATATATATATATATATATGAGCATATACACACATATATATATATAT